TTTTCTAAGCTGGTTTAAGTGGCTATGTAGAACTGCCTTCACTTGTTGTGGAGTCCAATTTGATCCCCAATTCAGTAGCAACAAAAGGTCTTTGGTGTGATGAAAGGTTCAAGTATGAACAACCCATATTTCCTCTGGAGATGTTGTTGGAAGCTTTTGTTGAATCATCACAATTATCTGCATTTTAGTATAATACAAGGATGCCCACAAGCTGTTCCTGTTGCCTTGCATAAATTCCAGACATATGAGATTGTACCAAATTTGACTATAAGACTGCACCAATAAAGAGCAAGTGCAGACATGTGTGAAATTACAGCTGTAATAAAAACAGGAACTGAATTCTAGTTGTTGAATCTGTAGCAAGTGATTGGCTTGATTTATATAATATGGGCCACAAAAAGAGAGAGACGTAAGTCAGAATCTTTAGTTTGAAGCATTGTGGTTCAGTGAGTTGCAACAGGCCACTAAGAGCCTCTGAATTAATTCCTGCTTATTTCTGGCATAGTGCTAGTGCAGCAAAACAGTGCAACCAAGGTTCTCTATGGAGACCCACTATGGGCAAGGGAAAGCAGTCAGCTGTATCCAATGTCCCTTATACCTTATAATCTTTGCTGCAAGTGCAATAAGAATGTAGAGCATATGCTGCTTCCCAGTGTAAAAAGCATACATTTCTTGTGAGCACAGTTGTATCTTATAAAATAATTAAGTTTTGTAAATATCTGTGTCAATAATCAGATATTTTTAATGCAACCTGTTATAAAACTATGATTAAGACAGTGAGCTGGACTAGAGGAATCAAAAAAAAGATACAAACATATTCTGATTGATCTGACAGCATAGGTAGTATTATCAAGGAGGAAGTGTGTAGAATAACTCATAATAATTCATTGAAGTATGGAAACTCTAGAAATTACAAGTTTTGAAGCCTAATACTGGAATCACTTGTAATAGTGATGCTATACTTAACATGTTGATACTCCATTATTCCAGCCCATGGCTGGATCTACAGTCCTATATCCTAGAATCAGATCCCAGGTGATTTTCTTTGACCTGGGGCCCCATCTACACTCCCATGTAAAATCCAGGTTATCTACAGTGTAGACTCATATAATCCAGTTCAAAGCAGATAGTGTGGATTATCTGCTTTGATAATCTGAATGATATGGCACTGTAGAAAAGACCTTAATTATAGGAGTCTACACTGTCAGATAATTTAAGACGATAATCTGGGATCAGATCCTGGGATATAGGGCAGTGTGGAAGGGACCTGGATTATATGGGGCCCCTTCTGTACTGCCATTTTATTTATTGTGTCAGGGGCAGACCAAACAATTGCATTGCATTTTTTAACAAACAAACAGAAACAAAGTTTGCAAGCTTGGTAGTTGATTAAATGTCCTTTGACCAATAGCTGGCCACTTGGAGTGCCTCTGATGTTGCTGCAAGGAGGTCCTCCATTGTGCATGTGGCAGGGCTCAGGTTGCATTGCAGCAGGTGGTCTGTAGTTTGCTCTTCTCTACACTCACATGTCGTGGATTCCACTTTGCCGCCCCATTTCTTCAGGTTGGATCTACATCTTGTGGTGCCCAAGTGCAGTCTGTTCAGCGTCTTCCAAGTCGGCCAGTTTTCTGTGTGCCCAAGGGGGAGTCTCTCATTTGGTATCAGCCATTGCTTGAGGTTCTGGGTTTGTGCCTGCCACTTTTGGACCCTCGCTTGCTGAGGTGTTCCAGTGAGTGTCTCTGTAGATCTTAGAAAACTATTTCTTGATTTGACGTGCTGGCTGATATCCAAACAGGGGATGAGCTGGAGATGTCACTGCCTTGGTCCTTTCAGTATTGGTTGCGGATGTCAGGTGATGCAATACCGGCTAAACAGTGTAATTTCTCCAGTGGTGTAGGGCACAGACACTTCATGATACTGTGGCATGTCTCATTAAGAGCCACATCTACTATTTTAGCATGGTGAGATGTGTTCCACACTGGGCATGCATGCTCAGCCACAGAGTAGCATAGTGCAAGGGCAGATGTCTTCACTGTGTCTGGTTGTGATCCCCAGGTTGTGCCAGTCAGCTTTCTAGCACCCACTTTTTGCTTGATATTCAGGCAGTGCTTCTTGTAGGTCAGGGCACGGTCCAGGGTGACTCCCAGATATTTAGGTGTGCTGCAATGCTCCAGTGGTATTCCTTCCCAGGTAATCCTCAGGGCTCGGGATGCTTGTCTGTTCTTAAGATGAAAAGCACATGTCTGTGTTTTAGATGGATTAGGAATCAGCTGGTTTTCCCTTTAATAAGCAGTAAGAGCACCTAGGGCTTCGGAGAGCTTCTGTTCCACCATCTCAAAGCTCCCTGCTTGAGCAGTAATGGCACGATCATAAACATAGATGAAGCTCTCTGTCCCTTCTGGCAGTGGCTGGTCATTTGTGTAAATGTTGAGCATTAATGGAGCAAGCACGCTCCCCTGAGGCAGGCTGTTCTTCTGTTTCCGCCATCTGCTTCTCTGGCCCTGGAACTCAACAAAAAAGCTCCTGTTTTGTAGCAGGTTTCCTATGAGGGAGGTGAGGTGGTAGTCCTTTGTGATATTATACATTTTTCTCAGGAGGAGGTGGTGGTTTACAGTATCATAAGCTGCTGACAGGTCTATGAAGACAGCTCCTGTGATCTGCTGTCTTTCAAAGCCATCTTCTATGTGCTGAGTCAGGTTCAGCACTTGCGATGTGCAGCGTTTGCCTTTCCTGAAGCCAGCTTGCTGTGGGATCAGACATGGGTCTATTTTTTCCATGGGTCTATTTTTTCCATAATTCTTTTGGTTGACCTGGGATGGCATAATTCCTTTGGTTGACCTTTGGTTGACCTGGGATGGCATCCAGCCATCTCCAAGGTAAAGCCGAGAGCTTGGGTTACGGGTGGAGACAGAAACTAGCTTTTTAAAAGAACAGTGCCTCCCAGGTTTTGGACCTGTGTAGAAGGCCTGGAGTTTCATTTTACAAGTTGAGAATTCTGACTGGTTTGTCTAGAAGGAATTGCATTACACAGATTCTTAGTGATGTAGACCTAAACTCCAACTACATTTGATACTCTGATTCAGTGGGAACATGGCAAGTAAATATCCAACATTGATACAGCTGGTCTACTTTAGTTTACCATTAAATTCAGGCCATAGCTGCCTAACTATTCAAATCCAATCTAAAGTGGTGGTGCTTTAAAGTCCTATATTTTGGGGGGAAATTGCCTTTCTTCCCTGATTACTCATGTATTCTGATGAGGCCCTTTCCAGGTATCATCATTTGGTGAAATATATTATCATTCCCATAAAGAAAAGAAAACAATAGCTTTTACTGTAAAAATGCAGACAGAGATTTGAATCAGCCTGGGTTGCACTTTTTTTTTCTCGTGTCAGGAGCAACTTGAGAAACTGCAAGTCGCTTCTGGTGTGAGAGAATTTACCGTCTGCAAGGACGTTGCCCAGGGAATGCCCGGATGATTTGATGTTTTTATCATCCTTGTGGGAGGCTTCTCTCATGTCCCTGTATGAGGAGCTGGAGCTGATAGAGAGCGCTCATCCACCTCTCCCCAGATTCGATCCTGCGACCTGTCGGTCTTCAATCCTGCCGACACAGGGGTTTAACCCACTGCGCCACCGGGGCTCTGGGTTGCACTGAAAGTGAAGCATAGCATTTACACTGGCATGCAATTAACAGGGCCAGATACATTTTCTACATTTCTCAGGAGGGACGGAGGAATTTTCTCCTTCTTGCACACCAAGCTAAACATTTTTGACAGCCAGAGTACCACACCAATTGGAAATTCACAGTTCATGTAATAACAGAACATTTTAATTTCATGAGCTAAAGAATTGCAGATTGCAGTGAAGAAAGTAATACTGTCAGAAACACTGGCATGATACATGAAGAGATCCATATTTGGAGCTAAAATAAAACTCGCTCATTGTTTTCCCATCACATCCCTCCCAGCTATAGTACAGCATAAACATTAATTAAACCTTTCATTGCATTCTTTGTCACAATGAATTATTTGATGTTGCTGACAAAAAAAACCCCTGCTATTGTTTGTATAGGAGTGTGCAGCAACCAGTCTTGCCATAAAAATCCATTAGATACGATATGAATGAGCTGTATAACATTATATAAAGATAATCAGAAACTAAGTTCCAGCAAGGAGAAAATTTCCTAGAGCTCTGAACTCTCCCTCCTGGAACATGTTTTTAGACAAGGGCAAGAGAAATATAATACGGCCCTAGTATCTATGGGGTTTCTGGATTTTGCATGGATAACAGTATACCTAATTTAAATAAGGGATGTTTGGCTCTAGAATAGTACAGAACCATATTGGAGGACTTAAAAATGAATATCGTATCTTTCCCTGTGATTCTTTTTGATGCAGTCATGGATTTAAAAAGAACTTACTGTGATTCAGTCAAGTCTTGTTTTATGATTTCCTGACAATTATGAAGACACAAGCTTGAATCCAAAGTTGCACTAGCACCCATATCATCACAGCAGGTTCTTTCTGCCCCTTTGCCACTTCACAGCAACTCTAAATGTCAAAAGCCATCTGCTTTGAAGCAGGTTTTCAAGTTGCATGGAGGCCACAATTGTCTTCCTTCTGCTAGAGGAGATTTTATCCTCCTTCTGATAATCTTGGCCTGTTAGGCTTCCCTGGACATCGGGTGTTTAGACAGCTTTAATATTTGCCTCACAGGGCTTAGTTGGTGGTCATCAAGCCATTTAGACTGCAAATAGGTCAAGGCTGTGTGCTCAGCTGCCATTTTAAGAGATCCTTCTGTAGATTTGACATAGTACTGTTCCATAATTTCAAACTTTTGAATTCAGCCCCTCTTGATTGTACAGCTCGGGAAGCTGGGAAGGGGGCTACTACCCTTGGGCTTGAACAGGTGGATGGCTCCCTCTTGATGGGACTTGCAATATCTTCATGCCAGAGTCATCAACCATGGCTCTATTAATTCACTTTTTTGTCATTGCAGGGGAACACTTGAGAATTTGCCCTCAGGAATATACATGCTGCACATCAGAAATGGAAGACAAACTAAGCCAGCAAAGCAAACTGGAATTTGAGAACTTGGTAGATGAGACAAGTCATTTTGTGCGCACAACATTTGTGTCCAGACATAAGAAATTTGATGGTGAGTAACATGCTGAAATATGCTTATTCCTAAATCCAAACAGCACAGTCATCTGTAAACATGTATATAGACTATTTGGCTGTATTTTGTCATGTAGAAGGTTGATGTTTTTAATATTTAAATATCACACTTCAAGTTTTGTATGCAAAATTAGAATGATGGAGAAATGGTTCGGCTACAAAACAGAGAGGGAGAACTTGTGGCTAGCCAAAGGTTACAGAATGCCAATTTCTATCATCTATAATTAGTTGTTGGTAAATGTGTCATTTTGTTGTTGCTTTTAAACACATAGTAAAATTTGATTAATCCCTGCAATCTAAAAGCTACAAGCTAAGAAGAACTTTATGTGAGCCTCCCGGTCATATGATTTTTGCCTCTTACAAAGCTTAGGCAAGGAATTTGCTACACTGTCAGATCCCTCAGTTGAAATTGCCTAGTTCCGTAGGAGATCACACATTTGGAACAAATACTAATTATATTTTCCAGGCAATTGGATATCACACTCAGTTTGTTTTTCTTCTAGGAAAGGTGCTTACTTTAAAGCTGGTGTGCCTTACATTGCTTTTAATTACAAGGATATGTAATGTTGAGAACATGAAGACTTTTCTGTTGTGGAAGGATGATTAGATCTACCTCTTTCCTTATTTTGAAATGATCATTTGACTGTGAAGTTATGTGTACCTTTTTGCAGAATAGACAGATGTTGTGGAAATGTGGTTGAGTTGTTTTTGTGGTATATTTTCTAGACTGTTTTATATGACAAAATATGTTTGAGATGACGTCAAGTACGAAAATATCTCCTTGCATACACCATGAAGCTGGCTGCTATCTGTGGCACAAGGCCCAAGATACATATTATTATATAAGATATATTTCATATATCATTAAACAGGGATGTTAAAATGGTAAAAACCTATAGATTGTAGAAGATAGTGTCTATGATTCATAATAGTGTCTGTCATTTTCTGTCTTGTAATAAAAAATGGAAAGGGATCTTTATATTTCAGCCTGCAAAGTGTGGAAAAATGCCAGATGTTCCTTTAAAGAATGTAAATAAATGTAAACCAAAACAACAAAGAATGACCTCATGTATAACAACTGACAGGAGAATATATAATAAAAATGGATTATGCACTAGACCCTGATATACCAAACAATTATATAAACTGCATGAGGGTTAAGAAAGAATAAAAAAACTAAATTATAGTCATATAATTAGGCTGCTTCAGCATATCTCCAATGCAGAAAGGGAAGGCAAGAACCTACCCTTCTAGGTATACTTGTTCCTGATTATCTGAAAGCCCTGCTGTCCTAAATATTGATACTGTTAAGGCTAGGGCTGAAATAGATATATTCTCACACCTTATTAATATTGTTAAGATTAAGGTCAAGATTTATTAAAGTTAATTCCTGAAAGCAACAGATGAGTTTGTATTCTGTCATAGAAAATTGTTTGAGTATTAAGAGGAAAATATAGATGAACATGACGTCAAAATGACTTAATATAGTGACTTATATGGAATGCAATGAAATTTAAGTGCCCAGATACTACTATGTCTGTGTTTCACCCCAAGGGAGTATGTATCTACAGCTGTGGCTATATGAATGCTTATAATAAATAGCCTGAAATACTACCAAAAGAGTATATTCTTTCCCTTATAAATATCCTAGAACTCCAAAAGTTGAAAATATTTAAATGGAGTGTTTATGTTACTTTGCTCTAGAATCACCATTCATCACCTTTATCAATTTTCTGCCTTTTTTGTGCCCAAATAACTTGTCTGGTATTGTGGATAAGGGGTTGCTCTACATCAAGCATACAAATCCACCACATCTTAGGCCTGTGTATGATATAATTAATGTTGAATGCAAGTCACTTAGGGATAGATAACAGTATGGGTTACCATTGCCATCTGAATGACCAGACATAACAAGTGATTGCCACTCGGCTTATAATATTTGCAAGTGTTAACCCCTTTTGGAAGTTATTATACCATCTAGGTGCAATGGAAAAAGAGATGTGAAATCTTTATATAGGCTGAAGTTCACTCTCACTGTGATGGGGATTCGTTTAATTTCCAAACAGGGCGTTGCAAAGCTAAATGGCAAAACTACAATCCCCAATGCTTTACTAATTGTGTGGGATGAAGTCTATCATTACAATAGTATGATTATAATGTAACTGCCATGGTTCTGTCCTGTGAAACGTCTTTGATGAATGGGCTTACAAACAAAACACCATGCCCATAAAGAAATTGTAGTACAGTTTACCAGCAGCAACAGTAGCCGCCAGAAAATGACCAAATGAACAAAAATGTACAGAGCATGTTAATTCGCCTTTCACTTCCTCTGGAGGTTTTTTTCTTGTTACAAAAATAACACTCTGGAAGTATTTACAAAACACGGTTTCTTCCAACACAAGCAAAGTTCATTAAACTTAACTGGGCATAAATCCAATGCCTTATCTTCACCTACTCAATCCAAGGCTTTGTCTTTTTTCTTTTTTCTTCTTTCTTTTATCCTGTTCAACATCTTTATTAATGACTAAGATGAAGGGTTAGAAGGCATGATCATCAAGTTTGCAGACAACAACAAATTGGGAGGGATAGCCAATACTCCAGAAGACAGGAGCAGAATTCAAAATGATCTTGACAGATTAGAGAGATGGGCCAAAACTAACAAAATGAAGTTCAACAATGACAAATGCAAGATACTCCACTTAGACAGAAAAAACTAAATGCAAAGATACAGAATGGGGGACACCTGGCTCGAGAGCAGTACATTTGAAAGAGATCTTGGAGTCCTCATGGACATCAAGTTAAACATGAGCCAACAATGTGATGAGGCGGCAAAAAAAACCCAATGGGATTTTGACCTGCATCAATAGGAGCATAGTTTCTAGGGATATAATGCTACCCCTCCATTCTGCCTCAGTTAGACCACACCTGGAATATTGTGTCCAATTCTGGGCACCACAATTGAAGAGAGATATTGACAAGCTGGAATGTGTCCAGAGGAGGGCGACTAAAATGATCAAGGGTCTGGAGAACAAGCCCTATGAGGAGTGGCTTAAAGAGCTGGGCATGTTTAGCCTGAAGAAGAGAAGGCTGAGAGGAGATACATGATAGCCATGTATAAATATGTGAGAGGAAGTCACAGGGAGGAGGGAGCAAGCTTGTTTTCTGCTTCCCTGGAGACTAGGACACAGAACAATGGCTTCAAACTACAAGAAAGGAGATTCCATCTGAACATTAGGAAGAACTTCCTGACTGTGAGAGCCATTCAGCTGTGGAACTCTCTGCCCCGGAGTGTGGTGGAGGCTCCTTCTTTAGAAGCTTTTGAACAGAGGCTGGATGGCTATCTGTCAGGGGTGCTTTGAATACGATATTCCTGCTTCTTGGCAGGGGGTTGGACTGGATGGCCCATGAGGTCTCTTCCAACTCTATGATTCTATGATTCTATCTTCTATCATTTGACAACTCAAACTATAAACAATTAAACAGCACTGACTACTCCGAACACAGCAGCTCACTCCTTTGTTCTCTTTCTCTCTCTCTCTCTGCTCTCTCTTTGGTCTCTCTCTTTCAACTTCACACCTGCTTCTAACAACCTACTGGTTTAGCTGGGCCACTGCACCATTTTAACTCTTACAATGCCTCTATATAATTTTTGGAATTAAAAATACACTGTTAGTTTTTTAATATATCTGACAGAATCCTCACATATGCAATTTAAGGAAGAATATTTAAAATATTTAGCTCAACACCTCCATGTCTTGCTAGACTACAAGTCTCCAGATTCTTTAGGATGCAGCCACAGAATATAAATTGGAATTATATTGCTATACCTGTGTAGTATGAAAAGGATTTTCCTGCTTCTTGGCAGGGGGTTGGACTGGATGGCCCATGAGGTCTCTTCCAACTCTATGATTCTATGACCCTGAAGATTACCTGCACTACTTATATGGGACCACTAGTTTTCACAGCAGCCATAGATTTCTAATTATGAAGAAAGTTTATGTGTGTAGGCTATTGTCTTGTTTCTGTATGGTATAGTAATCTGCTCAATACAGTCAATTGCCTTCCTTTGTTGTCAACAGTAGGATTTGGAGCTTGTTCTTCTGAAAACAAGGATGGAGAAAGAATGGTGAGCAATAGGAGAAACTGGCCAAAAATTACAGAAGCCACACACATTTCTGTTCCTTTGAGCTTTGAAAGGAGATGTTCACTCTCCAGGCACACAGATGGTAACCCTATATATCCGTAGTCACAATGTGCTTGTACCATAGAACTATGTAGCTTCAGATCCACATCACATGTGGATCTGAAGCTACATGTGGTAAAGTACATGGAAGCAAACACAATATTTTGTTTTGTCGCTAAAAATATTTATGAAACAAGGGAAACATTATTATTACAGTGGAATTTATTCATATTTAATTCACTCCATGTTTCCAAACAGGTCATGAAGAACAGATCCTTCCAGGAATTGAAAAATTATTGTAGTTTTTAAAAAAGTTTTATTTGGGTGCTTTTTTGCTTCAGTGCTCAGACACTAGGAGCACACTTAAAATACATTCTCCTCCCAGTGTTGCAGTAATGCCATCCTCTTATTATCATCAATTCTTCTTTCATGGGGGCTTTGCCGCGCAGCTGTTTTGCAGCCAAGCCAATTTCTTTTTAAAAAATTATTGCTCTATCAGCAGCTGAAACCAACCCCACCAGAAAGTGTTTTTGCCATGAATGTTAATAAGCAGACAGTATCTCTTCAGTGACATTTCTTAAGCAGTCCGGAATAACTATAGGCAAATCATGATGAGATTTGACTTTTTCCCCTATAAAGGAGAAGGAAACTGGTTATAGTCTTCTTCTACAGGTGTAAGTAGGAAATAACACTGTATGAAATTACTTCAACTCCAAAGTGACTGACTTTTCAGTATGATAAAGGCAAAATATTGTTGAATGTTTGATTCTGAAAATGCAGGCAAATATAGCTGTTGT